TCGGTGCTCCACAGAGGACAGGCTGGAATTAAAGACATATTTTTAACGCTCTTGAGTGATCTGACCCTGGTTTTTAGAGCAGCTGCTCTTTGTGAGGCCACAGGTGATCTGTGAAAAACATTTTCCCCCTCCCTCTCCTAACCTCTTTACCTGTTTCTCTTTTTGCGGAGCCTCATTTCAGGCAGCGTTCAAACATTTTTCACCCCCCCCCCTACCCTGCAGCCCTCAACCTCTCTCTTCTCAACTTCTCACCTCTGCCTCTCCACCTTATCTCGCTGCTTCAGCCTCATTTCCTCCTCACACACGGGTCCGTTCTGCATTTCCATCGCCCCGCTCCCCTCTCACACTCGCTCTGTGTAACAGTAGATGGAGTTATTAGTCAGACAGTGGCGATGGTCGAACAGGTGTTTTCCAAATGAGCCTTTGAGCATTCGCCGTCGCATCATCATCATCACTCCACACTCGCGGGGGGGTTGGGACATGTGTGCTTGGCCTTTGTGTGCCCTTTTTTTTTGCTTCAGGCTGAGCCGTTTGCCAGTACACAGGAGCAGAGGGGGGAGGGGGGATGTTACATGTGTTTGTGTGTGGGTACACAACATATGTAGGTGTGAAGAAGTGTTATATGTTTAACAGCTGCTGCTTGTCGTTACTCACTGATGCGCAGCAGCAGCAGCGCCGAGCGGCCTTGACCCGGACACTTTACGGCGCTCGGCTGAGGAGAGCAGCTCTGACACGTTTAAGAGTCAGAAAAATGTTTTTGCCCCTTCAACCCCTTTCTGCGGCCCACCCTCCGACACGTTTTATTCACCCCCCTCTTCTTTCAGACTTTCAGAACTCAGTTTTTCTCACGGAGACTTCGCACGGTCTCCTTTTTAAACAAACCATCAGTAAACTATTAAAGTTTAATAAAGACACGGTTAGAGCTGCTAAAGTTCAGAGTTGTAAAGTAACTAAGTACAAGTACTTTTACTGTACTTAAGTAGAATTTTTGTTTATCTGTACTTAATTATTTTTCAGCGTACTTTTTACTTTTACTCATTACATTTTTACACAATTATCTGTACTTTCTACTCACTAAATTTTTTTAAAAAGTAAGAAGTAGAAAGTCGTTACTCCTGTTTTATTCTGAGTTATTACTTAAAAATACTATCCTGATAAATTGTGTCTCCTGGACAGAGTGAATTTAATTGTGGTTGGATGAGAAGTATAAATGTATAAAATTCTGACACCCTATTACATACACTCACCGGCCACTTTATTAGGTACACCACGCTAGTAACGGGTTGGACCCCCTTTTACCTTCAGAACTGCCTCAATTCTTCGTGGCATAGATTCAACAAGGTGCTGGAAGCATTCCTCAGAGATTTTGGTCCATATTGACATGATGGCATCACACAGTTGCTGCAGATTTGTCGGCAACTGTGTTGGTTCGATCTGTCAGCTCGAACCAGTCTGCCCATTCTCCTCTGACCTCTGGCATCAACAAGGCATTTCACAGACATCAGGAGGAGGGGGTGAAGGAT